AGGAAGGCTGACGTTTTGGGCCTAGACCCTTCTTTCTGAAGAAAGACCCAAAACATCAGCCTTCCTGCTCCTCTGATGCTGCTTGGCCTGCTGTGTTCATCCAGCTCTACACCTTGTTATCTCAGATTCTCCAGCATCTGCAGTTCCTGCTATCTCTAGAAAATTTTTCATCCCACCGAATAGATTGCTGCTGTACTGGAAGTGATTGGCTAGGGGCACAGCTAGTTCTGGAGCATAAGTCTTCAGTACTATTTGTGAATATTGTCAGGGCCCATTACCTTTGGAGTATCCAGTGTCTCCAGCCATTTCTTGATATCATGTGGATGGAATTGTTACCTGACATCTGTGATACTGGAGAAGGACAAGATGGATTATCCATGTGATACTTCTGACTGAAGATGGATGTGAATACTTCAGCCTTGTCTTTTGCACTGATGTGCAAGGCTCCCACATCACTGAGGATGGGAATATTTTTGGAGCCTGCACCTCCAGTGAGGTGTTTAATAGTCTACCACCATTCATGAGTGGATGTGGCAGGACTGCAGAGCTTAGAGCTGCCCTGTTGACCATGGAATGCTTAGCCCTGTCTTCTGCATACGGTCCGGTTTAATAGCTTTACCAGGTTAACACCTCATGTTTAGGTATGCCTGCCGCTGCTGCTAGCATAACCTCTTGCATGTTTCATAGAATCCCTACAATGTGGAGGCAGGGCATTCAGCCTGTACCAACCCTCCCAATAGCACGCCACCCAGACCCCCCCCCCCCCACCATCCTAACCTTGCATTTCCCATGGCTAACCCACCTAGCCTGCACATCTCTGAACACTATGGGCAATTTACCATGGCCAAGCCACCTAACTTACACACCTTAGGACTGTGGGAGGAAACCAGAGCACCCAGAGGAAACCCACGCAGACGTGGGGAGAAAGTGCAAACTCCACACAGACAGGCGCCCGAGGGTGGAATCGAACCTGGTTCCCTGGCGCTGTGAGGCAGCAGTGCTAACCACTGAGCCACCGTGCTGTCCTATTGATCGCTTTACTAGATGATAATGATAGAGTGGAGGATACACCGGGCTGCGAAGCTATAGATTGTGATTGAATACAATTCTGCCGCAGCCGATGGCCTACAGAGCCTGCGTGTGTGTGTGTCCATTTGTGCCAATATTGCTGACGATGAGCTTGCACATGAGACAACCATGGACAAAGGCCCAATGTCCCACTGATAATGAATCCAGATGAGCAGTAAAGTGGTGAGCTACCAGGGGTTGTCCTAACCCCCGAGGGCATAACAACGGGTAGTGGAGGGAACAAAACTGGCAAATGTAAGGAAATACTTTTGGGAGTGTATTGAAGAGTTAAATGTTACATTTTATGACCAAAAAATCTGCTGTAATAGGTGAAAGCTAACACCTTACTAAAGAAAGCATAAATATTCAAATAAAAGGGAATTAGGTGAGGAGCTGCCTGGATTTTTCCAGTTCCAACCAGCTGTCAAGTCAAAATTTCCGGTTGCACATTTGATTTTTATGGGTCCCTGAGCACAGAGAGGTCAGAATAATTAGATTCTGTGGTTGTGGAAGTGACTGATTATTTACAATGATTCCTGAGTGTGTCGAGTGGAGGTAATGTTTGAGCAAACGTTTCCTTTCAAGTTATACTTTCCAAAAAGAGAATATTTTTTTCTTGAGTGAATTCAGGCAGCTTTTTCTTTTGTTTGTGAGTCCATTTCACTTTCGTTGTTAAATTCTGACGTTAAACGTTCTTTCCTCACAAGTGCCTCAGCCTAAGGTGAAGATGATTTTCGTGCTGCAAATTATGTCTTTCACTTTGGCCTTTGTGTCAACTTTTTTCTTGGTTGTGGCTACCTGGACAGATTGTTGGATGGTGAATGCTGATGACAGTTTGGAGGTAAGCAAGCGAAGACTGGCTTTGGTAAAAATCCTCTTTCCCTTTCCCAGCAAGACTCCACAAACTCCTTACGCTACACGCCAGGCTCTGTGTTGTTGAGTGGTGGCATTCTCAAGTAGTGGGCTGCATCGATTGCATCTGGAACTGGTCTATTTTCTACCACGCTGCAGAGTGAAACATGGTTAGCAGGTTCAAGTCCTCCTCCAGAGCTTCACAAGATAAGCTGGAGCCCGCAGTGTCAGGACTGAGTGAGTGCTGTGTTGTCAAAGGTGCTGACTTTTGGCGTGATGTTAAAACCAAAGCTCCCCCCCGCCCTCTCAGGTGGATGTAAAGGTCTAGTCATGCATTTCATTGTTTGTTTGTGGGATCTTGCTGTGCACAAATGATCTGCACCCCCGCCCTCCTACCTTCTGGCATGACTGCACCAAAGTATTTTGGGACATTCTAAGGTTGGGTACAATGAAAGTAAGGTTCTTTTCATCTTAGATGTGATGTATTGGCAATGACAACAATGCAGATTGTGTCAAGGAAGGATAAGCGAGGAGTGAACATAGTGTTCCTCTTCTGCATCAATCCTGTGGAAAAACTCAGTCCTCTGTTGCCGTGATACAACTGTGATTGCCCTCTCATTCAGATTTACACATCAAACCCTGTGGCTTCTGTTTAACTGAGGACGCGAATATCTCTGTGCCCTGTTAAAGAGGGTTTTTGCTGGAATTCTGTGGCGGTTTCATAAACAAGGACAATGTATGTGGGTGAACGAATAACTCTGTAAAGTGTTGTGCAGGCTCCGGGCCTGTTTTTAATGTTTTTGGTGTTGGGAAGGTTTTGGTGTATTTTACAATTCCATCAGCCTTCTTTAGGCCCATTGGCCTAAATAAATGGAATTCCATCAGTTAGAATGGTGGACTCCAGAACTGCACACTGTTTTTGAGGATGTGACTGAATTCTGCTGATTTGTCGACAAAAGTTGCAAATCAGGAACCTTGCTCTCCAGGACAGGAATAACAAAGTATTCTGCTCAACTCAGTGCAGAGCGGATTAAAGGGATTGGAGGATTGGCTGGGAGCACGAGGCTTAAAAAGACAATCTTACACTTTAAACTCAGTAAGTGAGAAGAGCTGAATTGGACTTCGGTAGTTATCATGCTAATGTTTTTTGCACTAAGAACGCTGGAAGAACGTGATTGACCCTTGTTGAATGGCCTGTTTACTGCTTAAGAAGCTAGCACATGCCAGAGGCACTGAATGGCCTTTATTTGTTCCTAACATATGTCCTGATGATGACACAGGTTGTACTTATTGTGTAACACTTGCCCTTTGTCATAAAACTATGCTAAAGTGTTCGACTAATGGTCTGTAGGTTGGCACTATGCCAGTCCTAGCTGCATTAACACATCCTGGTTAAGGGGGCTTGTGATGGCACATCTTGCTAAAGCCCAGCGATTCAGGCTGTGGGATTTGGAGGGGATTGTAGCTCTAATCACCTGCCTCTTTTCTGTGGTTATGTACGTGTCCTTGGAGAGGGAACATGCTGTCTCCAACAGGAGCCTCAAAGTTTTCAGAGAGAAGTGGGCACCAAAGTGCTGGAGTGCATTATCTTCCCTCCCCAACACTATTTTGAATTAGACCTTCTCTTGCTTCCTCCCTTTTATTGGTTTATGGCCCTGTTCCATTGCACCTAGGGGGCAATATTTGCAATTTGTTGATTTTATGCTTGGCTCAATTAACAGTGGATTTATTTAAAAATAAAAGAGCTGGGCCCTACTCCTGTGGGGAGTTGGTTTCTGGACAGAGAATGGATCCAGAAGGGAAAATTGGAAGCTTGTATTTGTGCTAAACTATGGATTTGGCATAAAATATAGAAACATAGAAGATAGGAGCAGGAGGAGGCCATTCAGCCCTTCGACCTTCTCTGCCATTCATCATGATCATGGTTGATCATCCAACTCAATAGCCTAATCCTGCTTTCTCCCCATAACCTTTGATCCCATTCGCCCCCAAGTGCTATATCTAGTCACCTCTTGAATACATTCAACGTTTTGGCATCAACTACTTCCTGTGGAAATGAATTCCACAGGCTGACCACTCTTTGGGTGAAGAAATGTCTCCTCATCTCCATCCTAAATCGTCTACCCGAATCCTCAGACTGTGACCCATGGTTCTGGACACACTTACCATGGGAACATCCTCTGAGCATGTACCCTGTCTAGCCCTGATAGAATTTTATAAGTCTCTGAGATCCCACCCTCATTCATCTGAACTCCAGCAAAAACAATCCCAACCTAGTCAATCCACCCTCATACGTCAGCCCCGCCATCCCCAGAATCAGCCTGGTAAACCTTCGCTGCACTCCCTCAAAAGCAAGAAAATCTTTCGTTAGAAAAGGAGACCAAAACTGTGCACAATATTCCAGGTGTGGCCTCACCAAGGCCCTGTACAACCACAACAACACACCCCTGTTCCTGTACTCAAAACCTTTTGCAATGCAGGCCAACATCCCATTTGCCTTCTTTACCTCCTGCTGCACCTTCAGGCTTACCTTCAGCGACTGGTGCACAAGGACACCCAGATCCCGCTGCACACTCCCCTCTCCTAATTTACAGCCATTCAGGTAGTAATCTGCCTTCTTGTTCTTGCTTCCGAAGTGAATAACCTCACATTTATCCATGCTGACTCTGTCTGACCCTGCCGCTGCTTTCTAAATACTCCACTATAAAGTCTTTGATAATGGAGTCTAGAATTTTCCCCACTACCGATGTTAGGCTTACTGGTTTATAATTCCTTGTTTTCTGTCTATCTCCCTTTTTGAATATTGTAGCAATATTAGGCAGCACTGTGGCTCAATGGTTAGCACTACTGCCTCACAGCGCCAGGTACTTGGGTTCGATTCCACCCTAAGGTGACTGTCTGTGTGGAGTTTGCATATTCTCCCTGTGTCTGCATGGGTTTCCTCTGGGTGCTCCGGTTTCCTCCCACAGTCCAAAGATGTGCAGGGCAGTTGGATTGGCCATGCTAAATTGCCCATAGTGTCCAGGGATGTTTAGGTTAGGTGGGTTAGACATGGGGAAATGCAGGGGTAAGGGAGTGAATCGGGGTGGGATGCTTTTCAGAGGGTCAGTGTGGACTTGTTGGGCCAAGTGGCCTGTTTCCACACTGTAGAGATTCTGTGATTAGCTACCCTTCAATCTGCAGGGACTGTTCCAGAGTCTATAGAATCCTGGAAGATGACCACCAATGCATCCACTACTTTTACAGCCACTTCCTTAAGTACTCTGGGATGTAAATTATCAGGTCTTGGTGATTTATCCATCCTCAATCCCATCAATTTTCCCAGCACAGTTTCTCTACAAATATTGATCTCCCTCAATTCTTCCTTCTCACTAAACATTGTGCTCTCCAACATTTCTGGTGTTTGATTTTGTCTTCTTTTGCGAAGACAGAACCAAAGTATGTATTCAGTTGCTCATCCATTTCTTAGTCCTTTATTATACATTCCACTGTTTCTGTCTGTAGGAGACCTACTGGTAAATCTCTGAAAGTCTTTTTTGCTGCCTATGGATATCAGTCTGTTAAACACTTCCAGCTCATTGGTAGAGGCTGAGGAGAAAGTGTTCCATCAACACTATCAACTGGAGATTGCATGTAACTGGAGGAGAGGACTAGGGAGAATTCAAAAACACCCAGATCCCTCAAAGATGTAGCAAGTCTGAGTGGTGGCTGGTGTGGATCTGCTGAATCACATAAACATACAGATCAGCCATTCCCAGTCAATGCAGAGTTAGATGATTTAAAAGAATAAATTATGGATGCGAGCATCTCTGTCAAGGCCAATAATTATTGCCCATTCCTAACAGCCATTGAGAAAGAGATGACCATTGGAGTGTTGCAGACAATTGGTGTATGTATACACACACAATGCTGTGAGTAAAGGGTTTCTTGCGTCGTTTAGCCTTTCTGTAGCCATGCCATCTAACTGAATGGCTTGGTAGGCCTTTGCAGAAGGCAGGCAAGAGTTAACACCTTGCTAACACAGGCTAGACTGGGTAAGGTTGGCCGATTTCTTTCCCTGAGCTGCAATAGTGAGTGTGAGGCTTTTTTTTTAACAATTCAATAATTTCATGATGATCGTTTCTTTTTATCCCACATTTATTAATTAATTTCCTTTAAATAGCCCTAGCTACTGGGGCGAAATTTATTGTCCAGCCTTTGGGATTGATAGCTCGGTAATATAATCACTCCACTATGCTACCCTCCCCTAGTCAGGCCTCAGAACTTCTCCAGGACAAATTAGTCTGGGTTGTTGCTCTTGCAGTGCAGTGATTCCTAGTGGTAGGTTTTCTTGTCTGATTCCTCCCTTGGTTGAATAGTTTTGCTGGCAGATCATTGAAATTTTAAGAATGGCTACTTGGGCAAGTGGATCTCCGTGGAACATGACATTAGTGCAGCTTAAAGGCTTCAAGGTTGCAGGAGGGAATGAGGAAATGAAGAAGGGGAAACTTCTTTTCTTTTCATCTGAAAGAAATAGGGCAGTGCAGTAATGTTGAGCACAAATGCAAACATGAATTCGGAGCCTCTCCTGCAGGCAGAGATCAAAAAATGCGCAGTTTGTGTAGTAACAAGATAACAAGCCATTTGGCCCAACAAGCCCCTATTGACTACAATGCACACAAATAATCCTTCAACATACTGACAGCTCCAGGGAAATGACTGTCTTCCTGGCTGATTAGTTTTGACCCCATGCTCTGCAGCGCTGAAACAAACACTAATGGAACTGATTCCTGCTCCTGCCTCTGGAAATCCACTAGAGTCAAATGAGCAGGTTTATTTAACTCGGCGAATGTGAGCATTTAGAATCTACCCCTTTCCCAGGTTACCCTTCAGCCTGGTGACATTACCAACTTCTAAACTCTTTAGATGTGTGGTCCCAGTTCTAAACTCTTCAGAATATTATAATATTACAAGCACTTTGGGATATTTTCTCCATTCTAAAGGCGCCATGTCAAGGCAGGTTGTTGTTATTTATCAGATCAACATCCTCTTTATTTCTAACATTTTTCAATGTTTCTGGCTTCCTGGATCTTACTCCAGCTTTTATTCATTGTTCATACCTCTTTGCTTTTCTTTCTCCTCAGTTCCTTTATCTCTTTCTAAAGATTGGGTGTTTTCCAAGACACTGGGGCATAGGGACAGGAGTTGGCCATTCAGCTCCTCAAGCTTCTTCTATCATTCAGTAAGATCGTGGCTGATCTATAACTTAATTCCATTTGAATGTTTCACTTCTCTAGACTTTAATACCCTTGCCTAATAAAAAAATTGCCTTGGTTTTGAAATTTTCAATGGATCCCCAGCCTCAAAAAACTTTCTCATAGAATGGAATCCCTACAGTGCAGAAAGAAGCTATTGAGCCCATTGCATGTGCATTGACCCGCCAAATAGTATCCCAGTTCCCCCCACTCTATCCCTGTAACCCCACATTTCCCATGGCTAATCCATCTCGCCTACACATTCTTGGACACTATGGACAATTTAGCATGGCCAATCTACCTCTCCTGTGCATCTTTGGACTGTGGGAGGAAAACCACACAGACCCATGGAGAATGTGCAAACTCCACACAGTTGCCTGAGGCTGGGATCCAATCCAGGTCCCTGGCACTGTAAGGCATCAGTATTAACCACTAAGCCACCCTTCCTGGAAGAGAATTTTCTGGATTTCCACTCCCTTTTGAGTAAGGAAGCTTTCCCTGTTTTCATCTGGGGCAATCTGGCTCTAGTTTAAAGTTATATTCCTGTGTTTTGAACTCTGCCACCAGTTTCTCTCTATTTATACCATTGATTCCTTTAATCACTTTAAACAACCCAATTACACCTTCATTTACCTGTCTCCAAATTCTGCTCCATGCTCGGCAAAGGAAAGCTCAGGAATTGAGAGAGTTGCTACTTGAACCTGACTTGTCCAATCCTTGAAGCACAAAAGTATTTCAAACTTGAAGAGACTAGCTTTTGTTGAAAAGTCGCTGCAGTCCTCTCTCGACCTCAGTTATGCAGTACAGGAACAATAAATGTTAATGTTGCATACTCTCCTTAAGAATACATCAATATTGATCCATGGCAAATGGCAAAAGAATCAGAAAATGAACCTATCTGAAGCAATTTCAACCTTATGAGAATTTCACACATTGGTGAAGATTTACTGGCAGTGCATAGCATGTAATTCTGTTCAAATAAATGAAATGGGCTAACCATTGTAGACATGATCTAATGGTACTGACCAGTGGAATAATTGTTATCGACATGGATCTGTTACTCTGTGCAGTGAGAGAAACGTTATAAGCACAGCCAGGCTCATTCTCCCCAGTGAGATGACCATTAAGAGCGAAACTAGTTTAAGTGTATGATGAGGACAAAGATAGAGGACTGGCATCAGGGGTCATGGTAGAGTGTGATAATTTCACAGGGTAGTTACTCAGAGGGTCAGCTTGATTTTCTGGGACATGGGCACAAATTCCATCGGACAGCCAGTGGAATTTCAATGAATTAATAAAGTCAATGAATCTGGAACTGAAAGCTACTCTCAGCAATGTTGATCATGAAAACGTCATCAATGATTGTAAAACAAAAATCTCATTCACTCATGTCCATTTGGGAAGGACGTTTACCATTCTTACCTGGTCTAGCTTCCACGTGACTCCAGACGCATGGCAATGTGATCGAGTCTTAAGTCCAAACCCCTCTCCCCTCTTGTCCCTTGAAGTGGCTTCATAATACACACACTTCAAGGACAATTAGGGATGTGCAACAAATTCTTACTATGCATACATCCCATGAAGACATAAAGAGATGTGTTAATAGAATAAGATGGAGTAAATAGTGTGGGAAGAAGTTCATGTAGAGTATGAATTCTAAGATTCTATATTATAAACTTGATGTAGGTGTAGATATGAGCATCTGATCTCTAGGTAAGATGAGCTCATGCTCAAACTGACCTGAGGTAGAAGTGAGTGGTAAATAAATAGGACCACACTGACTGATGCAGATAAACGCAAATGATCCTAATTCTTTTTCTGGCTCCCATTCCCAGGTCAGTCAGAAATGCAGGGGTTTGTGGTGGGAGTGCGTCACAAACTCCATGGACGGAATCAGAACATGTGATCAATACGACTCCATATTAGCAGAACATCCACGTAAGTAGCTACAGAAGGCCAAGTGTCTGCTGCACTGATCCAGCAGTTCATTGGCCAGAGTGCTGGAGAGTTCCAGGTTGACCGCACCAATGTGGAATGTAATCAGTAATCCTACAGCCCTCGAGTAAGGTGATGGCTCAATTAGAATTGTTCTTTGTAGAGTTACACAGTCTGTGAAAAAGGGAACATTTTCCCATTATTGTGAGAGTCCATTCAGACTGTGAAATAATCCCAAGTGCTACATGTTTTCCTCGTCATAGCGTCTTTAAGTCTCAGAAAGAAACCACTTGCACCATTGTGTCAATGGCAATCTCCATAGAGCAATTCATTCAGTCCCATTCCCTGTCTCTCTCCCTGTAGATCTGTCGGTGACCATGAATTGCTTAAAAACATTGTTTCTTTCTGCTTCCATCATCATCATGTTCAGCAGGTTCTAGGATATTAGCACACTGCAAAATAAATTTCTTCCACACCAACCCCCTTGTAACTCTGCCACAAACCCCTTAAATCCGTATCCCCCAGTCCTTATGGAAATGGTCATTGTGAACAGTATTTCTTTGTCTACTTTACTTCAGGCTGTCTTAGTCTTGTACCTCTCTAACGAAGTGAACACTAATTTACCATGACGACAGTTTAGAACCCAAAAGTAAACTATGGATAATTTTTAACTTTTAATTCCAAAGCATTTTTTGTTTTTAAAAGAGGGCAGCTACAGATCCAAAAAAAAGGACTCTGAATGTAACAAAAACAAAGCTGCTGGAAAAGCTCAGCAGGTCTGGCAGCATCTGTGAAGGAGAAAACAGAGTTAACATTTTGGGTCCAGTGACCCTTCGTCAGAAGAAATGGGGGAGGCTGGTACAATGACAACATTTAAAAGGCATCTGGCTGGGGACATGGAATCCCTACAGTGTGGAAGTAGGCCATTTGGCCCATTGAGTCCACACTAACCCTTCCAAAGAACATCACACCCAGATCCATCCGATCTCTGTAATCCTCAGAACTGATAGTGGCTGGGAAAACGTCAGTTGATATGCAGAAAACAGGGAGGTGGGTGGGGTAGGGAGTAAACGATAGGATAGAGCCCTAGGGGAGAGAAAGACAGTTGGACAGACAAAGGAGTTGCTAACGATCTGGCTGGGAGGGTGAATAGTTGTTAATGGGGACTGTTAGTGACTAACAACAGGGGGTGTGTAATGGCAGGTTATGTGGTAACAAGGCCTGGTGTGTGGGGTGGGGGGCTGGAACATGGGAGAGTTTAGGCCCTAAAATTATTGAACTCAACATTGAGTCCGGAGGGCTGTAGGGTCCCCAAGCAGAAAATGAGGTTTTGTTCCTCCAGCTTGCTTTGGGCTTCACTGGAACACTGCAGCAAGCCAGAGACAGACCTCCTTTTAAAGATAAATTCATTTGGTCTGTTGAGAAATATAAATGATGTGGATGAGAATATAGAAGGCATGGTTAGTAAGTTTGCGGATGACACTAAAGTTGGTGACATGGTAGACAATGAAGAAGGTTTTCTGAGATTACAAAGGGATCTTGATCAAATGGGTCAATGGGTTCAAAAACGGTAGATGGAGTTCAATCTGGACAAACGTAAGATATTGCATTTACAAACAAGGGGAGGGCTTACATAATTAATGGTAGGGCCTTGCGTAGTGTTGTAGAACAGAGGGACTAGGGGTTCAGGTATATAATTCTTTAAAGTTTGCATCACATATAGACAGGGTGGTTAAAAAGGTGTTTGGCATGCTTGCCTTCGTTGCTCAGTCCTTTGAGTATAGGAGTTGGGAAGTCATGTTAAGGTTGTACAGGACATTGGTGAGGCCTCTTCTGAAATACTGTGTCCTGTTCTGGTCGCCCAGTTATATGAAGGATATTATTAAACTGGAGAGGATTCAGAAGAGATTTACCAGGATGTTGCTGGGTATAGAAGGTTTGAGTTATAAAGAAAGGCTGGATAGGGTGGGACTTTTTCGCTGGAGCATAGGAGATTGAGAAATGACCTGATAGAAGTTTATAAAATAATGAGAGGTATAGATAGAGTTAATGGTAGTTGTCTTTTCCCTAAGATGGGGAATTTCAAGATTAGGGGGCACTTTTTTAAGGTGAGAGGACAGAGATTTGAAAAAGACTGAGTCAAATTTTTTTCACAGAGGGTGGTTCGCAGGTGGAATGAACTTCCTGAGGAAGTGGTGGATGTGGGACATTTCGGTGGCTACATGAATAGGAAAGGTTTGGAGGGATATGGGCCAGGAGCAGGCAGGTGGGGCTAGTTTAGTTTGGGATTATGTTTGGCATGGACTGTTTTAACCAAAAGACCTGTGTCCGTGCTGTATGACTCTGTGAAAGGCATTAATAAGGGAGGGATTTTTTTCAAATGAACCTTGTTTCAATACCAAGGGGGTGGATGAGTAAAGAAGGAATGGCTGATTTGGAATTTGACAGACAAATTGAAAGAATTACAGTGGATAAATTGTGACTTTGATACAATTTTGTTTTAAAAAGAAAAGTGAAAACAATAAAAGGCTTTCTTGAGTTTGCATTGTTAAACCTTAGCGATGTCTGCATTCGATGGCAATGTGTTCCTAATAGAATTAGGAGAAGTCAAGTTGAAAGTTCTGGTGCTTGAACTGTTAAAAGGTAGTGAGATACATAGGATTAGAATCTCAGCTGAAAGTCTGTAAACTTGAAATTAAAGAAGAGATAGCATAACCCCCCCTTCTCTCTTCCTACCTCTCCCTCACCTTTGATGATTTGCATTGCTCTGAATGGGCTTTGCACAGAAATTATTCAATTGGAAACATGGGTGATTTACTGGCAGTGGTTAATGGATGAATAATTTGCTGCACATAATTTGGTGACGAGAAAAATAAACCTTTCAGTTGTGTGTAAGAGCACTTCTGAATATTAAAAAAATCAATAAATAAATGAGTTAGCAAATGGTTTACAGTTAAAAAGAGAGACAAGTGGAAAGGGATAGAGAAAAAGAGAGAGTTAAATGGAAAAGGGAAGAAAGTGGTAAAAGAGAATTTCAGAAAAAATGGCAGAGAATGGAGTTTGAGGTAAGGCAGCTTGAGCTAGCAGGCAAGAAACCTACTGTATCCAATGAAGAGGCCACTGGCTCAGGCTTGAGGGTGGATGCAACTCAGTTTGTATATGTGATTCTTAAATGTGAGGGGGCAGAAGTAAAAGATTTCTTTCTTACTTTCAAACGGTAGCACATTGGCAAATGTGGCCAATTCAACAGTGATCCTTATTACTGTGAGGTAAGCTTTTGGGGAAAGTGCACAAAGTCTGCTTTCTCTGTACTGAGGAGAGAGCCACTGCTTATGTAGTAGTAAAGAGGGATATCTCAAATGTGCATCGATTAGTGTCAATGGTGCATTATCAAAAATTCTGTTCTGCCAGGGGACAGCATGGCTGGATGTACTGGGTATGTGAAAGGCTTTTGATCAGTGGGTATGAATGTTTAATACAGAAAGCACTGAAAATTAATTCTTCTTGAGGAGTTCAAAAACTCTGTATCATTCCCAATGGAAAGACACATAGAGGAAAGGAGAGTGATGGAGTCTACATTGGCTAATGGTTGTGAATCAATCCATAAACCCTTGCTTCAAAACTCCTTCCTTAGTTGTCCCCAAGCAACTGGAAAGGTTAGTGTTGGAGAAAGCTGAGCATTAATAGGAGTGAGAGGAAAGAGCTGGAACCTTTTGTCAGGATAAAGAGGGTGGTGCTACATTGAAAGGTGAGACCAAGAAGCCGTGTGAGTTTTGACTGCTGTAAGGTAGGGTCAACTGTTGGAGGCTACAGGAAAAGCCAGTGAGATTTATTGGGGCACATACACCTCGGCAGAGAATAAGAGTCAGTCAGAAAGCAAAGCAGACCAGGCTATGGCTGTGACTACAGCAATGAATCCCTGTGAAGCTATTCTAGAGAGTGCAGATGAGGTTAAACAAGTCACTGAGAATTAACGTGATTTTGAATCCAAATGAAGATGGCCATGTTTTTCAAGGTTGAAGTGAGCAAATGATAGCAAGCGATACTGGAGGCAATCAAACTTTACTGCTGGAAAAAATACCATGGCCTTCCCACAATGCAGCAAGTACCAAGATAAAAGAGATTGAAAAGAGCCTTCGATCAGTGGAGGGGAATTATTGGAGAAGATTCCTAGGGATAAGATTTACTGATAGTTGGAAAAATATGGACTTATTTGCTATAGACAGCAAGGTTTTGTGTGGGGAAGTTCATGTCTCACAAACTTGCTTGAGTTTTTTGAGGAAATGGCAAAGATGATTGATGAGGGCAAGGCAGCAGATGTTGTCTATGTGGACTTTAGCAAGGCCTTTGACAAGGTCCCTCATAGCAGGCTAATACAAAAAGTGAAGTCACATGGGATCAGTGGTGAACTGGTAAGATGGTTACAGAATTGGCTTAGTCAAAGAGGACAGAGAGTAATGAAAGGGTGTTTTTCAGACTGGAGATCTGTGACCAATGTTATTCCACAAGGATCAGTGCTGGGACCCCCTGTATTGTCTGTAATATGTAAATGATTTGGAGGAGAAAATGAGTGGCCTGATTAGTCGGTTTGCTGAAATCACAAAGGTTGGGAACATAAGAACCAGAAGCAGGAGTAGGCCATCTGACCCTTCGAGCCTGCTCTGCCATTCAATAAGATCATGGCTGATCTTTTCATGGCCTCAGTTCCACTTACCCACTCCCTCACCATAACCCTTAATTCCTTCACTCTTCCAGAAGTTATCTATCTTAGCTTTAAAAAATGATCAATGAGAAGGCCTCAACTACTTCACTCGGCAGGGAATTCCACAGATTCACACCCTTTGGGTGAAGAAGTTCCTCCTCAATTCAGTCCTAAATCTGCTTCCCCTTATTTTGAGGCTACGCCGCCTTTTAATAGTTTCACCTGCCAGTAGAAACAAGCTCCCTGCTTCTATCTTGTTCTATTCCCTTCATAATTTTACATGTTTCTATAACTTCCCCCC